GGCGGCTCTGCCCCTCAGCAGGCCGCTGGGCCTGCTCTGTGCGTGGTCACAGTTCCCTCTACCTTGCTGGTGCAGGGGGAGGGGGCGGCTCTGCCTCTCAGCAGGTCGCTGCTCCTCTTCTGCCGGTGGGTCGCAGGCCCACCTACCTTGCAGGAGTGATTGGAAGCTCTCGGACACAGAGTTTTTTAATTAAAAGATTGACACATCAGCCAGGTGTGGTGGCTGCACTGCAGTAATCTCAGAGATGTGTAGCCTATGGTTGGAGGACTGCAAATTTGAGACCAGCCTCAGCAACTTTGTGACAGCTTATCTCAAAATAAAAAAAAAAAAAAAAGGGGCTGTGGATATAGCTCATTGGTAGAGCACCTGGGTTCAATTCCCAGTACTGGGGAAAAAAATTGACACATCAGCCTTTTACATTTTTTGTTGTTGTTATTTGGGCATTGTGAATAAAGCAATTACCTTTTTTTTTTTGGCTTCATCATCTCATAACATAAGGGATAATATGACATCAAAAATTAAGGTGTAATCTCGTAAAGAATCATTTCCTTATATTTAGTGAACCTATCCCTGGGTAAAAGGTCACTACCTTGGGATTTTTTTTTCCTCATTGCACAACAGATCTGAGTGTGTCCTTGCTGCCGCTGCCTGGCCCCAGTTCAAGACCTGGCATTAGTACCTGGGCTTTGAAGTGAGATGACCTGGGGTCAAGTCTAACCCTTGTGACTGGTTGTCTGTGTGGCCTTGGGCAAGTTTGCCCAAGTCTCTGTTCTTGTATCTGTTAAGTGTGATATCTATTCTTTAAGAAGCTCTTGAGGGCTGGGTTTGTAACTCAGTGGTAGAGTGCTTGCCTAGCATATGCGATGCACTGGGTTCGACTCTCAGCAGCACACAAAAATAAATAAGGTATACAATTTGATGTTTAAAACGGCTGTTGAGAGAATTGAGTGAGGTAAGGGAAAAGTGACAGGGTTATGACATGCTTAGCACTTGGCAGCTCTGACATGCCCTCTGGAGATTACAGGAGCAGGATGTAGAGTGAAGGCAGAAATGCTCAACAGCTGACCTCAGAGGAACACAAGCTTTTTAGTTTTGTTTCTTTCTTACCTATATTCTATCACTTATATTTATAAGCAAATCATTTATAAAAAGTATAAAATTGAAAGAAAAGAAACAAAATATAGGTAGCCCGCAGAGGCTAGCTTTGCTGTTTTGGAAGCAGAGGGACAAAGAGATAAAAGTAACAATGTGGATTCCAAGTGCTGTTCTTCTTGGCTGGTTAGAGGCAGCTTCAATCTTAGGTGCAAGAATGCTCTCCCCACCATTTATTTTCTTTCTCCTGTTTTGTGATCATTTGTCAGCTTTTGGTTAATATCCTTCCTAATACTTTTGCCTGGAACTGCATGTTCCCTCAGCCACCATACTTTGTGCTAGATAAACTGTCATCCTTCAAGATGTCTTCTTCTTAAAAATTTCTTCTGGTAACCAGGCATGGTGAGGCACAACTGTAATCCCATTGACTCAGGAGGCAGGAGGATTGCAAGTTTGAGGGCAGCTTCAGTAATTTAGCCAGACCCTGTCTCAAAACAAACAAACAAACAAACGAGCCCATAAAAAGGTCTGTGGATGTAGCTCTGGGTTCAATCCCCAGCACCACATGTGCACACACACAAAGAGGTTTTTTCCTCTCTTTTTTCCTAACTCTTTTACACTGAATTCTAATTTTAACAAAATATATATTTCTTCCATCAAAGTGGGAGCTCTTGAAAAACAAATTTATAGTCTTACTGTGAAGAGTAACCCAGTTTTGCAGGTGCCACATTTAATATCAAGTAAATATTGAATAAATGTATCCAATGAGTGAAGATCAATGTATAGTTGGACAAGTGGTACCTGGTGTGTTGGAGCAAAATATTATGCACTGATTTGTGTTTCCCTCAAATTCACATATTGAAATTCTATTAGGGATTAGTAACTAGTGATGTGACTGTGTTTGGAGATGGGGAATCTTTAAAGAGGCAATTAAGTTAAAATGAAACCACTTAGGGTGGGCCTTCATTCAGACTGACTGATGTCCTTACAAGAAGATGCACCAGAAGATTAGGACACACAAAGAGACAGTGGGTATTCTCAGCCACAGGGAGAATGCCACAGGAGGACAGTGAAAAGGTGGCCATCTGCAAGCCAAGGAGAGAGACTTCAGGAGACTCCAAAATTGCCAATACCTTGACTTGGACTTCTATCCTCCAGAAGTATGGGAAAATACATTTCTGTTGGTTAGGCCACCTTGTCTGTGGTGTTTTGTTATGGCAACCCTAGCAAACTAATACACAGAGTAAGGTGAATAGTCATTTCTGGGGGAAATGGTGATGTATTTTTAAAATCACTGGTGTAAAAAGAGGACTTAAAGGGAGGAAGTAACTTTGTAACAATTAAATAGCAACAATGGCAGTACTATTGAGTGCTTACACATGCAGACACTTGTCAAAGTGGTTTGAATGCATTATCTAATTTTTACAATAAGCCTAGGAGGTAGTATTGTCATTCCTATTTTATAAATGGTGAAATTGAGGTTTGGAAAGATTGGGTAAAATCTCATAGATCACCCAGGTGCTGAGCAGTGGAGTCAGACCTGGACTCAGGTCTGATTCTGAAACTTAGGATCATATACTGCCACCTGATCGGGTTACATTCATTCCAAGTGAATAGTACCTTCAGAGCAGGCCAGAACAACACGGAATTTGAATAGTTTCTGAGGCATGTTTTCCTCAAAAACATTAAACTTCAAAGGAACGTGACTTCAGAAATATATGGAAATATTATAGCTGAGGAGATTCTGAAAATTTGCTGATGGATGAAATTATGTATTTGGGAACTTGTGAAGACTTTTATGTGGAAACAAAATTGATTTTACAGTAGGTACTGAGTAAAGTCAAAAGTTACAAATGTGGGATTTGCAAAACAAAATTGTGGAAGATCCAGCCTACATCATCCCCAATTAGTAATTTGCATGTGAAGAGCTCAAACCCTTTATGAATCTAGCAACAAATGAAGCAATGCCCATTGGCAGAGATGACAAGGTGGCAGAATTCTCATATAAGTGAAATGCAGAAAGTTGGCTTAGTTGTAGTTTTTGTTTTGTTTTGTTTTGTTTGTTTTTCACATAAGATCTTAGTTCTTTTTTTGTGTGTTTGTTTTCATCCCACAGAATTAAATTTAATAAACAAAAAGATTTGAAAGACATTTTTTTTTGCTCACTAAGAATTTTTTCACCAAAGGCATATTTAAAAAAGCTTTTAAACATCTGTTTTTATTAATGAAAACACACTGCTTAATTATACCACTGATTGCTATCTTTCACCGGTTGGAAAGTCTAGGAGGAGTCCATTAGCTGAAAATTCAATGCAATTCAGAAAATAAACCACAGTGAAATCTTGGAAGACTTTGAAAGCTTTGCCACAAAACATTTTGTTTTGACCTCTGATCACCGCTTTAACATTCTCTAACTTTTTTTGAAGTCGGTTTGTGTCAACCATTGCTTTCATATTAGCTATGTTTTCTAGCACTGGTTGACTTGGACTGAATTCTTGTCTTCTTGGAATTGGCCCAAATATTGATCAGTTTCCTTTGAAGTCTGTTCTTCCTCTGCTTCTGGAATAGCAGAAGAGAATCAGGATTATTTTCCTTTTTTTTTTTCCCCACCATGGCTGCTCTTGACATGTTTTAATGTATAGCACCTGCCTTAAATTCACTCCGCCAAGCCAAGAGTTGGACTGTCTTCAAATCTATATGTGCTACAGCAAAATGTGATTTTAACCTTTATAGACCAAAGAGTACCCTTTATTGTCTACTGTCCTAAATTCTTTGGGGGAAAGATTAATTAATTGCAAGGAGAAGTGTGCTGCCTGTAATTATGTGGTCTGGGTAAGGAAAGGGCAGCTCAAGCGCAAGAATACAGCTTCTTTTACAAAACCAGACCTGACTTGGGTGGATAAAAGCAACCTTGGAAATCACACTAGGGAAAGAAACCAACCTAGATGTCACTAGGTTTTATTATGAAAGTAACAATAGCATGAAATCACTTTTTTTTTTTTTTTTAAATTCAGGAACAACCTCCACTTATTTTTAGTTAGAGCTCATTATTGTTCCCTGGTCTAACTTTAGAAAAATTTAAGCTGAAAAAAATCAAACGTCCAAAATGCACCAGTGAAATTCTCCTTTACTTAATGACTGGAAAAGAATAGATCAGTGGGGCTGGAACTGTGGCTCAGTGGTAGAGGGCTTGCCTAGCATTTGTGAAGCACTGGGTTCAAGCCTCAGCACTACATAAAAATAAATAAAATAAAGGTCTTTCAACAACTAAAAAATTAAAAAAAGAATTGATCAGTGGAAGGTTAGATGTAGCATCAAATCTTAAAAAAGAAAAGAAACTACCAAAAGGTCACACATTGTCACATCCAGTAGGAGTAGGTATAACATGGACTTCTTTCAATAGAATTGGGTAAATATTTGACCTCCAATGTCATTATGGTTAATGTACATCCCAGACCTCAGAGAATATGGAGATGGAAGTTCTGCTTTCTGATTGGTTCTCTGAGAATCTTTGGTTGCTTGAGAAAAACTGATCATTTACTCTGTCCTTTACTTGGTACAGTTCAACTCATTTGTTCAATGGATGAAACAAAAATGATCTCATCCTTTGATCATTTAACTTCATGTGGCTTGTAAATCAGTATATAATAATAACTTCTGGGTTAATTATTAACTCTCAGAAAACATTCTCACCAATAGCCTTCAGGGCTAATAACATTCCTTTATTTAATTCTGAAAAGATTAAGATGTGGTTGGCTATGAATGTCCCATAAAATCAAAGTTGATTACAATTACACTAATATTTCAGGAATTCATGTCTCTCCTGCCTTCCCAACAAACTCCCCTATGTTAAATTACTCATTTTGATAACTATGTGAGAAAAAGATGCACAGATGCTATTTCTGAGAATGGCATCAAAGCATTTAAACTGCGGACTGGCGAGCAGTGGACGATGCCGCGCAGCGGCGCGCTCCAGCAGTCTGAAGCGGTGGCTGGCTGCCACGGGCCGGCGGCGCGATGAGCTGGGCGGCCGCCCCCGGCTCGGGGCTGTGAGGGGCTCGGAGCCTGGGGTGGGCGGCGGCGCGGCGGGCGGCCGAGGCTCTTTCTCCGCGGCGGCGGCGCGGCTGGGGCTGCTGGGCCGCGTCCGCCTCCCAGGGGCCTGCGGCCTGAGGGCGGCACCGCCGCCGCCGCCCCTGCTCGCGCTGCTGCCGCCGCCGCCGCTGCCGCCGCCGCCGCCGCTGCCGCTGCTGCCCGCGCCCGGTGCCACCGCCGCCCCTGCCCCGCGGCCCCCCGCGCTGCCGTCTGTGGCCGTGGGGCCCAGCGTGAGCCTTTACCTGAGCGAGGATGAGGTGCGCCGGCTGATCGGTCTTGATGCAGAACTCTTATGTGAGAAACGACCTTATTAGTCACTATGCCCTCTCCTTCAACCTATTAGTACCCAGTGAGACAAATTTCCTGCACTTCACTTGGCATGCAAAGTCCAAGGTTGAGTATAAGCTGGGATTCCAAGTAGACAATTTCGTGGCAATGGACATGCCCCAGGTCAACATTTCTGCTCAAGGGGAAGTTCCACGCACTTTATCAGTGTTTTGGGTCGAGCTTTCCTGCACTGGCAAAGTAGATTCTGAAGTTATGATACTAATGCAGCTCAACTTGACAGTAAATTCTTCAAAAAATTTTACAGTCTTAAATTTTAAACGAAGGAAAATGTGCTACAAAAAACTTGAAGAAGTAAAAACTTCAGCATTGGACAAAAACACTAGCAGAACTATTTATGATCCTGTACATGCAGCTCCAACCACTTCTACGTGTGTGTTTTATATCAGCGTAGGGGTTTGCTGTGCAGTAATATTTCTTGTAGCAATAATACTAGCTGTTTTGCACCTTCATAGTATGAAAAGGATTGAACTGGATGACAGCATCAGTGCCAGCAGTAGTTCCCAAGGGCTGTCTCAGCCATCCACGCAGACGACTCAGTATCTGAGAGCTGACACACCCAACAATGCAACGCCTGTCACCAGCTCCTCAGGTTATCCTACCTTGAGGATAGAGAAGAACGACCTGAGAAGTGTCACTCTTTTAGAGGCCAAAGCCAAGGTGAAGGATATAGCAATATCCAGGGAGAGGATAACCCTAAAAGATGTACTCCAAGAAGGTACTTTTGGGCGTATTTTCCATGGGATTTTAGTAGATGAAAAAGATCCAAATAAAGAAAAACCAACGTTTGTAAAAACAGTTAGAGATCAGGCTTCTGAAATTCAGGTGACAATGATGCTCACTGAAATTTGCAAGCTGCGAGGTCTTCATCACAGAAATCTTCTTCCTATTACTCATGTGTGTATAGAAGAAGGAGAAAAGCCCATGGTGATACTACCTTACATGAATTGGGGGAATCTTAAATTGTTTTTACGGCAGTGCAAATTAGTAGAGGCCAATAACCCACAGGCAATTTCTCAACAAGACCTGGTACACATGGCTATTCAGATTGCCTGTGGGATGAGCTACCTGGCCAGAAGGGAAGTCATCCATAAAGATCTGGCTGCTAAAAACTGTGTCATTGATGACACGCTCCAAGTTAAGATCACAGACAATGCCCTCTCCAGAGACTTGTTCCCAATGGACTATCATTGCTTGGGGGACAATGAAAACAGGCCTGTTCGATGGATGGCTCTTGAAAGTCTGGTTAACAATGAGTTCTCTAGTGCTAGTGATGTGTGGGCCTTTGGAGTGACTCTGTGGGAGCTCATGACTCTGGGCCAGACGCCCTACATGGACATCGACCCCTTTGAAATGGCCGCATGTCTGAAAGATGGTTACAGAATAGCCCAACCAATCAACTGTCCTGATGAACTATTTGCTGTGATGGCCTGTTGCTGGGCCTTAGATCCAGAGGAGAGGCCCAAGTTCCAGCAACTAGTCCAGTGTCTCACAGAGTTTCATGCCGCCCTGGGTGCCTATGTCTGACTGCCCTCACAGTCCCTCAGCATCAGAAGAAATGCCTGTTGTGGACACTTCATACACAGTACAATGCCAGCAGAAGCACAGTTGTCTTCCAGAATGCCGTGCCTTAGGAATGCTTTAGGACCTGAACTTTTAAGACAGACTTAATGTGGACTATTTTCTAGATATCATTTTTAATAGATTAAGCTGAAAGGGGTTTTATAAATTTTTTGGCCCAACATTTTTAAAAAAGTGACTTTGGACTAGAGGGTACATTTAAAAAAATAAAACAGTTTTTAAATTGTTTAGACACAAATATTTGGAATAGCTATTTTAGTGCCAACTGTTTTTTTATTTTTTTACTTCATCAAGGTAATGTAGGTGACTCACCTTTAAAGTTATAATTTTATTTTTATCACTACTCTTGGGAATGGTTTGTTTTCAGATGCAGTTCTTTTAGGAAAGGAAAAATAGCATAAAAAGATTTCTGCTTTGCCTCGTACAAGAAAAGGCAGTGTTGGAAGAAGAAAACAAAAACTAGAGAGACAAAGGAATTTTTAAAAATACTTATTGGAAACAAGCTGCCCTTTCATGGGAAATTGTTTATTTTTTAATGTTTTAGTGAAAAGGAGTTCTGCTTTCTTATCTTGGGGGAAGCAGGAACAGAGTTCATCACATCTTAAATTTGTCAGAAATTAACTTTTCCTGTGATCCAGAAATGGGTTTAGGGCAGATTAGTAGGAAGCAATGGCAATTTTTATTTAGTTTTACTCTCTGGGAAAGAAGATAATGCGGTTCCAGAAAGTGAATCATGTTTCGAAGGTTAAGATTTCCTTTTATTCCACCTAGAATAGTGCTATGCACAGAGCGGGTGCTCAAGTCTTTATGTTTTCTTTTTTTAATTGTAAGCTGGTACATTTGTGCTTATCTTCAAGGCTGGCTTAAGTGTAATTTTTTTTTAAAAAACACTTGAAAAATTAAAGGATTTGTTTTATATTAAAAAAATAAACTGCGGACTGGCAACATATCGCGTATTTATATGTGAGTGGAAAATCATCTTTTGGCTATATTAATACTGCAAAAATAAACACACTTTGGTCTTGATGCAAAGTTTAAAGTTCTCATGGCAATATCTGTTTGTTCACTTTGCTTACCAGGTACAATAAAGTAGTTGACATTTATTAAATGTCCACAGTTTGTTCCCATCAGGTCTACACCTTAACGAGAAAGACATTCAAGGACTTTATGGTTTAATGGGGGAGAAGCAGAAGCACAAATGTGTACATATAAACAAGCAGGGCTGGCGACGTGTAAACACACACACATGATCCGGAGCATCTGTGCAAAGATACAGGCAGAAACTGACTGGAAGGATCAAGGGTGGGTACATGGAATAGGTATCCTGCTGAAATAAGGTGAATTAGGTTTTGTGAAGGCTCTGCCAGGCTTAGAACAGGATTTGTTTTCTACTTCTTAAAAAAATTGAGGATTCATCTACATACAAGAATGGAATTTTTCATTCCAATTTTTGATGCAGCAAGGGAGGACTCTGTGGAATTTGCCCCAGAAGTGGTCCTCAAAATGGGGTTTGGACCAGCAGCTGCAGCATTCCCTGGGCATTTGTTTGAAATGCAGATGATCTGGCAGGTGTCCCCAAGCTACTGAGTCAGGAACTCTGGAGTGAGGCCCAGGGATCTGTTTTAGTCAGCCTGCCAGGAGATTCAAGTTGAGAAGCACTGTTCTAGGTGGTTCTCACTCTGGAGCAGTGATAGCACAGCTTGGCAACAGTAAGTCCAGGGGCCAGCTGATATCCACAGGAGGCATTCTACAAGGGGAGGAGGAGACAGTTAACAAAGGCCTTAAAGCCCACCACCAGAAACTGTAAGTGGATATACTGCAGGCTGGGGTGTATTCAGTAGTACAGGGCTTGCCTAGTTTGTGGGCATACCATTGGTTTTACCCTTGGCACTGGGGTGAGGGGAAGAGGTTACATCGCACCCTCTGAAATGTTCATGTTAGAGCCACTATACCGAATTAATGTCTTCAGAGAACACAAACTTTTACACTTCTTGACTTTATCAGCATGTTTTGTTGTGATTCCTGAGACTTTCAAATATAATTTCCTTTGCTTTTAAGGAAAGGATGAGGTGGTGAGAAGGGGGTTTATAGGAGATGGGTAGCTGGGAAATGGCAAAAATAGGAAAAAGTAATTCCAAGAGGAATATAACATTGGTTAAAAAAAAAGTTGTTTTTGTTTTTTGATGTCTGACTATGTTGCCCAGAATGATCTCAGATTTGTGGGTTCAAGTGATCTTCTGCCTCAGCCTCCCAAGCAGCAGGAACTACAGGCATGTGCCATCATGCCTGGCTAGCAAAGTTATTCTTTAAAAAAAAAAAACCATTGTTATATAGCCCATATGCCTAGACTGGAGCACAATAGAATAAATTAATAATAAAAGCTAATATTTATATAGCTGTAATGTGCCAGGCATGTTCTGAAATATTTGCATATATTAATTCATTAATCCTCACAACATCTGAGGTAGGGCTTACTATTTTTCCCACATTAAATGAGAAAACTCACACAGAGAAGTTAAGAAACTTGCTTAAGTTCACACAGCTAGAGCTAAGACTCAGGTGCTCAGCTATGTATTTAATGATTATGTTATGCTCCAAGAACTGAAATACTGGAAGACAGCTATTTCTATTGTGAAAGAGTAACTCATTGTTCTAAACTGTTTGGCCTTTGAACATTAGGCTTTAGGGCCTAATGGCTTTCTTATTTAATTTTCTGGTTGGCCAGCCTAGTATTTCCTGGGTCTACCTAGTTCTCACAAAAGGTAAATAGGGCTGATTTTTGGGTGGGGTAAATCAGTTACCAAAAAAAGGTTAGGCTCAGTGCCCAGAACAAAGTTAGAAATGACTCTGAAATGATCTTCCCTCAGCCCCGAACAGTTTAGGGAAGGCTCAACAGCTCTGCAGATTTTGGGGCCCATCTAAAATGCTTGGGTTCCCCTCAGAGTCCCTGGAGAGAAAGCATGGAGGGGCAGACAAGGACAGCCTGTGGACATCTCGTCATCTGTGGGTCAGCCTCCCGATAATGGTTGGAGAGCATGGACTCTGGAGTCAGACAAGTCTGTTTTTGTCCCAGCTTTTTCTTTTCCAGATGTGGGAACTTAACTGCGATGCCTCATTTTCCTCATTTATAAAATGCACATAAGATTTACGCTTGCCTTAGTGTTGCTGAGAAAACAAAATAAACAATATACTTAAAGTCCCTAAAACAATGCTGTGTTAGTCAGCTTTGCATCACTGTGACCAAAATACAGGACAAGAACAATTTAGGGGAGGAAAGGTTTATTTCACAAGTTCAGAGGATTCAGTCCATGGTAGGCCCACTCCATTGCTCTGGGGCCAATAGGAGGCAGAACATCATGGTGGAAGGGTGTGGTGGAGGAGAACTGCTCTGATCACAGCAGCCAGGAAGCATAGGTAAGGGGGAAGGGGCTACAGGGAAAATGAATCCTTCCAGGGCATGCACCAGTGACCCACCTCCTCCAGTCAGGCCCCACCCACCCATAATTACCACCCAGTAGTCCATTTAAACTAGGACGGACAGATTAGGTTACAGCTGTCATAAACCAGTCACTTCACCTCTGAACATTCCTGCATTAACACATGGGAGGGGCACCTTCTATCCAAATCACAACAAATGCTTGGTACACAGTAAGCACTAAATAAATTTTAGTTCTTCCTGTTAGTTTATTGACCACCAACTATGTGCCCTTCACTGTTTTGTAAGCTTTCATGGATAGTAATGACCACCAGTTCTTACAAAAATGCTTGACATGGGTGTTTCTATTCCTCCTCCTCCTCCTCCTCCCCTCCTCCTCCTCTCCCTCCTCCCCCTCCTCTGCCTTTTCCTCCTCCTTTTCCTCCTTCATGGTTATAGTGATAGAACCCAGAGCCTCATGTCTGCTAGGCTCTATCACTGAGCTACATCCCCAGCACTGGGTGTCTCTCATTTTGCAGATGAAGAAGAATCTCAGTCTCTGTGGGGGTTCACTGGTCCCAAGCAGATTTAAGCAGGAAGTGGCACCACCAGGCTTCAACCAAAGTGCCTTGGGCCCACAGCCCAACAGCATGGCTGTGCCTTCTCTCAGTTGGACATGAAACCTTATTAGAATAACTGAAATGATTGTTCATGAGGTCCTGGGAAAGCATTACTGATTTACTGCTTTGTTCACACTTTATATAGCTTGATTTGAAGCTGCTTTTTTTCACTTCATTCATCCCCTTTCACTGTGTGTGGGAGTCCTTCTAACAGGTGATGTGTCAGCACAAGAATATTTGATGGGCCCCGTAACTTGTTTATTTTCTGCCCACATGAGTGATTGATAAGTGGTTTGCATGGTGTAGATTTTCTCTTAGGAAGTAACTATAGATCAGCCATCTGTCTGATGCCCAGACAGAGGCAGGACATCTTGCATCCCCAACATTTCTTTTTTTTTTTTTTTTTTTTTTTTGGCTTTAAAGCATTTATTGTATCATTTTATTGTATCATACCTGCATGATTTTCTCATGATATTTGTAGATGATTTGTATTCTAGTTATTGTATTTTTCAGTTCTATAGTTTCAAATTGGTTCTTCTATATGATCTTTTTTTTTTTGATGAAACTATTTTTTTTTTTTCATTTCTTTCAAGAAATTCATAATTACTTGTAGGAACATTTTTATGACTGCTTGAAAATCTTGGTCAGATAATCTCAACACCTGATTTGCCTTGGTATTGTCATCTGTTGATGGTCTTTTCTTGCTTGAAACTGTGGATTACCTGGCTCTTGAGGTTGTGGGTGGTTTCTATTGTGTCTATTGTGGTTGTGAGATAGAACGTTCCATATTGTAGATAGAAGGCAGTCTCCTTATTTAGGCTTAGCATGGAGCTTCTGGCCTACTTTTGTGGGCTGTGGTTCCAATGACAGCTCAATTTTCTGAGCTCTTGCACGCTCCTCTGCTGCTATATTCTTCTGCCACTGCTAGAACTTCTGAGCTATCCCTGTCTATGCCACCTAAAGGGGCTGAATGCACATCCATGGGTCACAGTCTATAGGGAATAGGGAAATCCAGAGTGACTAGGCCTGGGGCTCTTTCTCCTCTTGTGGGAGGGAGACATAAGACCCTACTGACATTGTCACTGTAGTAGCACAGCCTACATTTTCAGTGCTCCAAGTATGCAGAGGGCATTGCATTGGTCCAGGGCTTTACTGTAGTCCCATGCAATTGAGTCAGTGCCCTGGGCATAGGTATGTGTGGAGTGGGCAGCCCACTAGGACTTGAAGCTGCCACTGTGGGCAGAGAGGGCCACCAGCCCATCCCCTAGATGTGGATTGATGGTTGCCGCCCCTACTAGGTCTCTGTTGGGCTTCCCTTCTCTTTCCTAGTCCTTTGACCTCAGAGTGAAGGCTTTTCTTGGGATTTATTTCTATGCTTGTTGACCATATTCGGTTGCAGGTTTCTTCAGTGTCCAGCCCAAGAGCACATGGGAGTGCGATTTACCATGACTGTCACTTCATATGCCACCTTCTCTTTTCCAGTTTTCAGAACTCTTTTATCATCATCTTTTGGATGATTTCCAGGTTGTTAGTTGTGTTAGAGGACAGAAACAAGGAAAAGTGAATCTATAGTATCTTGGAATCTGTATCATCTTTAATACAAACTATTTTAGATACTTCTTGAAAGCAAATCATACATATATACATATAATTATAATTTATATAATTTAATTTCATATATTATGTATTTATTATTATATACTTACAGAGTTATAACCATATATATATATATATATATATATATATATATATATATATAATTGTTATTTGTGAGTGGAATGTTTAATTTTATGATTGTTCCTGATAAATTAAAGTATGAGTTAAAATTGAAGGTGGGGACTTCAGTGGTGCAGACAGATAGTG